GAGAAAAATGCAATAATTATGAGGAGAGAATGAGGTGAAGAAAAATACCATTTTTATATATAGCATGCGGGGGGAGGAAGGGGGCGCTCGTGCGGGGCGGTTGAGCCCTTGAGTGCGTCGTTGATTTTTGGGGTGAAATCTTGGTTTTTTTATGAAATAATTGAGGAGAAGTGGTTTTGGGGGTACCTCTCAATGTAATCTACGGAGAGAGTAATGAATTGGGGGGTGAAATTGAACATTTTGGGGAGTTTTTCGACTGTTTTTGGGCATGCTGGCGGAAAGGTTAGGCTCGCCCACTGGTTTGTGTTGGGGGGGGGGGGGGGAGTGAGAGGGACTGAGTTTGTGGCGGCAGAGCTGGTTTAATGGCGCTTTGGGTGAATATGGCGTAGAGGTTAAAGCCAGGATTCTGGGATGAGCCACATGTGAATTATGTGGGGGAATGGCACTACGACGGGGAGAACGACGATTATGGATGGTTCCGGGATGTTTGGGAGTCACTGATCATGCTGGAGAGGAAGCTGGATGGGGCATGCAGTTTGTATTGGTGGCAAATTCTCCAAGAGAAATTTGGAAGGAAGAAAGTGTTAAACGGGTGGGAAAGCTGTGAACTGTGTGGGGTTGTCATCTTTTTTGGAAAGGACGGTTGTTATGATCGTGTGACTCCAGCGCACTGTGATTGTGGCGATTGAATGGGCGGGGGGGGGGGGTGTATCACTGGATGTGCTGCGGGGTCGGGAAGGGAGAGAGTACGACCAGGGGCAAAGAGGAAGCTGCATAAGAGCTGGGGACCGATATGGCACAGGCGTGCGCGGAGCAGGGAGAATTTTTCTCATTCTACATGTCGGGGAACGGCCGTAAGATGCTGGACCATCATTTTTTGTTACTGTCGTAACTATTAGTGCCAAAAATTCAAATAATAATAATAATACATGTCGGGGATCACTGGGACGGGGCCACGAGGGAGGTGGCGGCTGCCGAGAACGAGAGATGGCAGCACAGCGGCGAGATGACAACAGCCCAGGATGGACTGAAGTCATCAAAATTGCTTGGGGTAGGGCTGACCCGGTGTAGTAGGATCGGGCGATCCTAGGGTCTAGCTTAATAATTTGGTGCGGGTTAACCAAGCTAACAATTGTGTCGCAAAATTGCGGAGGTGGTTCCTTCGTGTTGGAGCGGCTTCGCTGAGAGAACGACCGTTTCCATCATTAACCACGACCAGGAGGCAGCGGTACCCTAGACTCATGGAAAGAGCTGGGGATATCAATCAACTGTAGTACGGACCTGTGGTATTCTCTCTTTACCTGGATGGACTGAAGACCTTGGACAACTAGCGGAAAATGGCTAAGCTGAGGCAACGTTACTTGGGGAACTTCATATTTACATATTTTTTCAGTGATTCTATATTGTATTACTTCAAAATTGTCAACGGGGATGGGGACAAAATGTAAAAACCCGAGAGGGTATACATGTGAAAATAAACATATATAGCATGCGAATATGGTTGAAACATCATTTTAAATTTCCTTTACAAAATACATGAAAATGTAATTTTTTTCAATAAGAAAATTGTTTATTTGATATAATTGATCCCTTTATTCTAAACATGTAAACAAGTTTATGCATTTCTAACAACGACATTCTTGAAACAAGTAAAAAGTTTCAAATAAAGATTTTTCCGTACTGACCCTCACTTTTCCTCGTCCAAGAATTGGTATTGGCCCTTCCCCTAACTCGTAAAAATGAAAATCACTACAGTTAACTATCGTTCACGATTAGTACCATGGGTTTTGGTTACTCTCGTGGTTGGCCAATCCTCGTCTTCAGCTCGGGCACAAACTGCACGCGATTAAAAACCTCATGGCACTCGCCCTAAAATATACTGTGTTTGATTCAAATGAACAATTTTTCTAGGTGCATGAAATACGCCAAACGCTGGTAAATGCTCTTAAGTTCAATACAAAACTTACCGAAAATCAAAACTTTTTGTCCGACTTTCAGGATCATGTCACTGAAAATTAGTCACGGAGCAGTAATAGATTTCTTATGCAATCAATTTTAGGACCGCGAGTTTCTAGAAATTGAAGAATTTCCCCAAGAACAGAAACTTTTTTTTCTGCGGGTCATGGTAGGGTAAACTGCCCAGTAGATGGACGCCTAAGAAAACCGCCCAGTAGATAGACGTTTGTTTTTTAGCAATTGAAAAAAAAATTGATCGAAAAAAAATCGTCACTCAGGGGTTAAGAATCACAACAGTTAGTGAAAATTCAAAGCAACAATTCACATTTCAGTATTTTTTTGCGTAATTTCCTATCCAAAAGTAGCTCGTCCATCTATAGGGCAGTGTCCATCTACTGCGTAGCTTACCCTAGACAAAAACTATTCTTGCGAAAGAAAGGATGTGAATTGAATACAAATGTTCGCATCTTAAAGAATAAAAGAAAACCTCGAAGAAGATGTGCAAATTGCGTATGAGATTACGAATGAAATTACAAATATAAGCATGAATATATAAAATTACGTATGAAATTACAAATTTCATTAGGAAACTTTCTTTATGGACGAGCAAAAATGATTCATTCTTCCCCACTCTCTCATTCCAATCAATTGCGTCCAAAAATCCAAAAATCCATACAAAACTTTTTCTCCTTCAAAATTTCCTCTCGACTTTCCTCTCAATTGACGCACACAAACCTTCGCCAATTCCAGGAAACACATCATCAATGCAATAAAATAGACACGATAAAACCCACCATCCATTCAATTTCAAAGTAAAGAAAGGCGTGTGTCATGCAATCGCATTAATTCGCAATAACAGGGGCTTTAACATCCAGCGAATGCGTCTAGCGATGCTGACTAGGGCAATAGATTTGCACACAGTTGTTTTTTTTTTTAGTGGAAAAATTCCTCACAAGGTCAGCGCCAGTCGAATGCTCTGTTTTCGCGAATCGATGTCAAGGATAAAAACACATTCTTTCGAAGAAAAACAAATTCCGCAGATTCTCAATTTCTCCATTCTCCTTGTTTTTTCGGAAAATAATCCGCCGAATACCTCTCGACCTCCAAAATTAATCACAATATTTCCCTCGAATTTTTTCCGTCAATTTTTACAACGAAGTTATCGGGAAATATTCCGATAATTTTGAAAGTCTCGGGATATTATATTGTGAATTTTCTCCTTCCTCGGTTAGCCCAATCAGAGTGCAGTATTCGAGGTTACGTGACACTTTCACCTCGATTTTATTTTGATAATTCACCAGGCTACTAGTGAATTATCAGTTATAATACCACGAGAACTTCAAAATGATCGGGTATTTCCTGATAGCTTCGTTGCAAACAAATGAGAGTTATAATTTTGAAGCTCGAGGGGTAGTCGCCGGATTATTTTCCACATGACCATTTCGATTAATACAATTATGGTGTTCGGTGTCATCGTGGTGCAATCGACAACTTTTTGTTATTCTGCAACGGCAACGGGAAAATTATCGACATAATTCTCTTCTAATTGGTGCACGGACCGTCAAATACCGGAATTCTATCGTCCAGAAGGAGGGGAAATAATCAAAATAATAATTCCACAGTTGCCTGCCAATTGTTTTCTCTCATTTTGGCATTTCCATTTGTTGAAAAAACTTATGTGAGGTTGAGTTGATTTGATTCGAGATAAAGAGTCATTCAAAATGAGTCGATTTGGTCACAATTCTTTACGAAAAATCGATAACAAAATTAACCATTTTTTTACTTTTGTAAGACGTTCGTGTAAGGGGCCACGTGACCTCGTCCAGTACATTCTGATTAGTCGAACCCAGGAGAAAGAAAATTCTCCTCCGAATACCCCTCGCCCTTCAAAATTCATCGGATATTTTCCCCCAGTTTCTTTGAGTATCAGCGATCGGGATGAGTTTTGCAGAAAAATCTGCAGTGAATTTTTTCTCAGAAAAATTTCCTGTTATTTTTATCCTGCAAACTCATATCCCTCTCGTTGCTACGCAATGCAGCTATGGGAAAATATCGGATGATTTTGAAGGTCTTAGAAGATTACAACTGAAAATTCTATACAATTCCAAATTGTTTAGCAGCAGAGAGTAGGAAATTCTCTAACTCACTTGAATTTTCAAATGTAATATGGATTCAACAACTTCAATCAATTATATTTTATTCTTGATTCAGGTTCATGCATATATTTGATTTCGGTATAAAATATACTCAATTCAGGTATATTCAGGTATACTTCTATTCCGTGATAGATTAGGACATTTTGCTCCAAGTGTAGGATTTTCGAAAGTACTATTTTAATAGAAATTACACTCACAATGCGATAATTCTTTCGGAATAAAATGGAGAAATCTATTTATGGGTCCAAATTTTTTATTCGTTCTCAGATTGAAAAGTGCACAAAAACTCGCTACACGTGTACCACCTGCGTCAGGATAATTTATACAATATTTTTCTCTCCGTGTACTAATCAAACGCAAACAAATGGTTCATGATATTTCATGAAAACGAATATTTGAAACTCATATTCCGCACGGAACTACGTGAATGGTATCGACTGTTTTTTTGGGGAAATTAATCACGCGCATGGTGCCATATGTCCACAATGGGACAAGTACGTATGACAGTTCTCTGAACGTCATAAGTGTGTGTAAACATCGCTATGAATGAATTCTCACGTTACTAGGAATGAAAAGTCAGGACAATCGTTCGTGAACGTATTATCGTTATCATGGAAATCGCATCCTCTGGTTTACACCTTCCTCCTACTTCTCTCATTTCGAACGGTTTCTAAGGAGGAGAATTCAGTCTGCGACAGACTGTGACGGGAGTGCGAATGTTCATGCTCCAGTATATATTGTACGAATGAGATATTTTTAGTGACTATGTAACTGGCGATTACGTACCGTGATAATTAAGCAATTGTGATTATGAAAGTGAAGGTTTATTATTGAGAGCTCAGGTATTTTACTCGAAGAATTATCTTTGGATTTGTTGAATTTTCGAAGGAAGGTGGGGGAGGCAACAATGGCACATTTCAATAAGTGTGATACTAAACATCCCTACTATGCAATTGCTGCATTTCGTATGAGCCAGAAAAGGGAAGACAGGCCGGTTACCGTAGGCAGTATATATTGGAAATTCGCTGCGCATAATTTTCTACATAAAAGGTGATTCAGAGTATATGTAGAGTTTGGAATGAGTTGGAGGAATGCGTTTGTGATGTCATCTAGGGATATTTGTGATGGTCTAACTGTTGTCAAAAATGTCAGCATGGTGGGTTATGAGAATTCGTCAAGTGACAACACAGAATGAGTCATGAACTGATCTCCGAATTATTGTGCGACTGCACTGATGGAAGGATTTGGTTGTTGTTAACGAGGCTTCTTGAGTGTTAGCATCATTGGTTAGTAGTTAACGAATGGCATTAATAGTTAAGAAGCCTCGTTAACAGCAACTAAATCTTTACATATTTTCTGTCAGTGTGATATGATGTCTCTGGAGTGAAGAAATTCCAGTGAATATCAAGAGATCATTTTTTCAGCAATGACGAGGCCCAAGAGAAAAGATTTGACATTTTTTTTAAACCGACTCGACTCACAGATACTCGCCGGATAATTTGCATTTCTGTAGCGAAGTATTGAAGCGGGATAAGTGTAAAAGAATTATTTTGCAGAAGTGCTCGAAAACTTGATAGAGCTCGGTAGAACTATTTTTTATAACGAAAAACGTATTTTCGGAAAATATATACGTTCCTAGTATACTTCTTCGCTGCAGATCTGTTCGACTATTCTAATTCTGTCACTGGACTATAGAATTCATAGTTGATTTAACATGATTAATTGGATTATTGGTCATCTATCATTGCTTGTTTAGCATTCACCGAGAAAAAAGTTTTCATTCCCAGAAATATGCCACTTATTTTTAAAAAGCTATTCCTAATTATTGGTGACACTCGACATTGACTATAGTTTATACCGTAGTGTATAACAGTAGTCACAGAGAAAAATTAGATTAACTTGAGAAAAAAGTTTCTAAATTTTAAAAATCGTGGTTCTAACCTTCAGTTTTCTAGAATCTAGAAACTTTGATGATTAATTTTAAACCAAAATATACTTCATTTTAGAAAAAAAAAAATTTCTAAAATCTAGAAAATTTCTTCAATTTTTGAGGGGGGATTTTGAAAAGAGGGGGAGGGGTGCTGTAAATTGAGAATTCACAACCAAAAAAATGAGTCGGTGATTTTTTCAAAAATATCTCCGAAATTAAGGAGGAAGCGAATTTTTACTGAAAGTTTGGCGGAGGGTTGTACATCGAGAATTCAATAAAGCTTCCCTCTCCCTTCTCTCATTTTTCCCTTCGTTTTAGAGATATTTTTGAAAAACTCACCGACTCAATTTTTTTGGTTGCGAATTCTCAATTCACAACCCCCCTCCCCCTCTTTACAAAATCCCCCTTCTTCACATGTGAAATTCCCGATATTTGGGTACCCCTCCCTACGAACAGGGCACTTACGCTCTTTAAATACCTCGGCTGTAATTTTTTAGTTCAATCTGAAAATTTTTTTAAATTAAGAAAAATTCAGCATTGGTTTTAGAAAATATTTGTTCTTAAAAACAATCCCAAAATTCGTTAGTTTTTATGATTCCACCAATGATAAAGCTTAAGAATTGGAGTTTCTAAAATCTAGAAACTAGTTTCTAAAGCTAATCCTCTTTTTTTCTCTGTGGTCTGAACAAAATGCCCCTCATCTTTCAGACAAGTACAAAATCTCTTGACGAAAGGTTTCTTTTCTCAGAGTGAGATATTTTCTTCCTGTCAATTATCGAGCCATGAATTTCTTTATTCAAGTAAAGACAAATAACCCCCCCATCGGGAAGTTAAAAACTTTTTGTTCTCATAAAAACTTTTTTTTTCTCAGCGCATCATTTAATCATCACTTCAATATACTCAAATCAATGGAAATTCGTTTTGCAATGAAATCTTGCGGTAGATTTTTCCTCCGCTTTAGCATGAATTCGTCAAAAAATCATTACGGCTTGTGTTGTGAAACTCCCGCTTGTGTTATCGTTGAATTTGCAGTAGCCGTTGGTATGTACTTACGCAGAGATGAATTTCCGTGTGGGAAGGCCAAACCATGCGAAATCATTGAGGCATGATTCCTCACGTGTTTTGGTCAATTATCACGTACCGAGTTATTGTGGCTCATAGCACTTAGCCATTTTGCAACTGAAGTAGGCCAGTAATCCTCGTGGGCAGCTTATGCACTCGCTCCAATTCGTCAGCCGGAAATGACTGAACAGGTCTTTGCATATTCGCAGGATTCAAGAGTCCGATGGGGGATTCTTCGAGAACCTGGGGACTCTCCTGGCGGAGAAGGCTCGGGCTCAGGAGGCGGTTGAAGGACCATTACCTCAGAGGTGTGGACAGAGGGATGACGACGAGGATGAGGATGGGACCAGTGAAGGCAACATTGACGAACCGACAGAAGCATTACTGGAGTCTGATAGTGACAGAGACGAGAATGAACGAGCACTTGATATTGTTGTCGGCTCCGTTGGATGGAACGTAAGTGATCTGTTATGATATCCTTAATCATCAGTGACGATGTCAGTACACATGCAGTTTTGTAACTCAACTGAGAGTTAACGTCAACGGATAAATTGATGAAAACGTAATTGACTTCTTTGAAAATAATTCAGACAGCACTTTTTATTGATTCTCTAAGTGAATACAAATTATAAGAATGACGGTGAAAACGTCAGCAGCAGAGTCATATTATTTTGTTGATCGTGGAATTATCTGGAGAACAAATTCAATAGAAAACCTAGTGAATTCACTAGAAAATTCTATTGGAATTCTATTGAAAAATTCTATTTGTCTTTTTGCCAATTCTATTGGATATTCGATAAGAAAAAGTCAATGGATTTCCAATTTCTATTTGAATTTTTCTCTTGAGATGTTTTCTGCAAGAATGCTTGGGCATCAATTTTCCCAGTGTTTTCCACTCGGATTCTGTAATGCAAAACACAATCCAGCGCTAAAAACTCAAGAAATTTTCTGCCCAATAATTGTAATACAAAAATCTCAGGAGAAAAATTCGAACGGAAATTCAAAATATATTGACTTTTTCCTATCAAATATTCAATAGAATCAGCGCAAAAAATAAAGAAAATTTTTTAATAGAATTCCAATAGAAATCCTATAGAAACCCGATAGAATTTCTGTAGAATTTCAATCGAGTTTTCTAGCGAATTCGCTAGGTTTTGCATTGAATTTTTTGATACGTTCTGTCAAGATTGAAATACTAAGGAATTTTTTCGATGGGATATTTACTCAGCAGTTTTGGTTTTAAATACAAAAATCCCTCATTCCTGAGTAATTGATATAATTAATACAGATTTTGGATTGATCTGCACAGAGACAAAAATCTGTTGAAATTTACCGTTTATCTCAGTAATCGTGTAACTCATTAACCCCTCATGATGTTCAATTAGGTCAAAAAATTTTTTGGGTGGGAAATCCTTTTCAGAGTTTGTAGAATGACCCAAGAGTCTTTTTCAAGCGTGATAACAACCTTTGTTTTTTCGAGCGGACGATTTTTGAAAAATGAAATTCAAAACATTGCGTACTCCCACATTTAATCCCTCATTGTGCGAGGAATTTCTAGGAATTTTCACAATAGGTTTAGTAGAAGAGGTAAGACTCTGATGAAAATCAAGATAATTTTGTGTCATTTTTGCTCAAAATTTTAAAATTTCTACCAGATTTGTTGCATTTTTTAAGAGATGGGACAAAGGTCTATTGATATTTTCTATTACAATCACTTATTTGTTGGATAATTATGTGACTAACAAAGATGATCTGTTTGATTATGACAGCAAACATGTAGTTTTGCAACTAAACTGCGAGTTGAATACTAGACAACAATTAATCAAATTTATTTTCTTGAAAATTAATTAATGAGAATTTCTTAATGAATTCTATTCATGAATATAAGCAATGACTGTCACGTTTTTAGTTACCTATCTATTATGATCATGATAAAATCATCTCGGAATGAGTAAGTTTGAAACATCAAACGTCATGAGATGTTTTATATGAAATTATATCTGCAAAAAAAAGTTCCGATATTTTGCAATAAAATTGTTTGGTCTCGAGACTATATATACATGATTAGCCAAGTTTTTAGACTCCCTTATAATATCAGTATAAGTACACGTACTTTTGTCATTCATCTGGGGCTCAAAATTCACCTGTGAAATAAAAAAAAATTGAAATTTCCTGGACAGTTTAGTAGTGATTTTGAGGAGAACGATATTGAATTGAAATTTCACTGAGAATTTCCTCCCTCCTCGGTTCACCCAATCAGAGTGCAGTGTTCGAGGACACGTAGGACCTTTACGTCGTTTTTATTTCGATTATTTTTCCCAATGGGATTTCGACCAATCAGAGCGCAGTATTTAAGGCTACCGAAGGCTTTTATTGCGGATGTTTCCGCATTTGAATTCCTTGCAGTATCTCTTCATTTTTTTACCTGAATATTCCGCACTAGCTCTTCATTTTTTCGGCTCATTTCAGATCGAATCTTGTATTCGACAGTCTATGAATATCTGATTATTCTATTAACATAATTTGTCCAAATCTTCCCTAATTCACCTTCTGATGGTGTCCATACGGAGAAAAAAATTCCAGAATTTTTCAGGCGAAATTCAGGCAAAAATTACCGTGCCGTCTGGTAAAGTGGGTTCAATTGTCTAGCACCAGAAAAATTCCGGTGCTGCATAGTAAAAATTCCGGTAACGCACAATAAAAGCTTGATCCCTGACTGTTTTCTATTACATGATAAATTTCATTCAATAGTTAAAAATGAGTAAACATTGTCATTCAGCATATCATCCTATTAATTTTATTTTAACCTCTCCTCCATATCCTCTCTCCCATATTAAAAGCGGAATGCGCGGCAAACGTATGTGGAACGTTTGACAGGCCAATGTATATCTACAGCGTTATACACCTCATGAAGCGAAAATAAAGGGCACTTATTTTATTTCTTAACCGTTTTATCACAACACTAATTAATATTTCACTGAATTGATATTATGAAAAACATTAACCTGGGGTTTCAGTAAGGAGATATGTGAGAGAGGAGGCTAGAGGAGGCGACGGAATAAATCATCTGGTCACGTTGAGGTGATGTTCGTGGTTGCGGAGGGGGGACGAAGAGTGCCGAAATCTTACGAATGCGCGAGCGGGTCCTAGGATTCTGGTAGAGCACCGGAAAAATTTGCCAGCCAGTGTCATAATTTTTCTCGTAATTTTCGTACAAATTCACTGTCGCTTCGATTTTAGCGTGCTGCACAAGAATTTTTCCCCGCATTTATCCGAAAAATGACTCGTGCAACAGTACTTTTTCCTACTCTTTCCGGTACATTTCGCCTTGAAAGACCATCTGAACCAACTTTACTGTGCGAGCACGTTCATTTTTCTCGTACATTTCTCTCCGCACTGCACTATGATTGGCCAAAATCCGATTGGCGAAAATAATCCGATAAATACCCCTCGACGGTGAAAATTAATCGGGTATTTCCCTCCGACCTCAAGAGCAAGCAAACGATCGTGTCAAGTTTTGCAGAACAATCCTTCAAGCAAGCGCTCATGATTTTTTAACCTGCAGAACTTGACACCCTCATTCGGTTACAACGCAGCTATCGGGAAATGCCCGATAATTTTGAAACTCCTGGGGTATTACTACTCAAAATTCCATGGAATACTAAATATTTGGGCAGTACGAAAACGCGTCTTTCCCAACTTGCTTGTATTTTCGATCGAACCATGAATATTCAATACCATATTGTGCAGAATTTCCCATTAATTGAAAATTTACGAATATAATGGCTTGTTCTTCCCATTTTCTGCTGATTTTCAACGAATTATTGATATGAAATTCAGAGTTTCCATCAATTTCATGAAATTGTGAATTTTGAATGATAAAATTGCTTGAAATTTCAGCAGAACTATCACTTGATTGAACTTTTCAAGAAGTCTACCCTAGATTTTAGTCAAAAATTTTTAATATTGTAATCAAAACGTAATTTATTACCTTGAGAACCAATTAGAGGGAATTTCTTTATTATTCCTACATACAAATACAGGCAAACAAACAATTCCATTGTGAAGGTAATGAGTCGAACTATTTACTTTGACCATCGTGGTATCATTAATAGTGAGTTCAAGACATAATGTCAAAACACATCTTTACCATATCTCGTTCTGAAATCTTGTATTCGTTAGATAAAATAAAATATTCAACGCATCATGGTCTGTTACTTATGGAGAATTTATCGAATTGGTGACTCAAGTAATTACTCCAGAGACATTTTGTAATAAAATCATTCCTTATTAAAATGATTGGCTAATAAAAAAATACTACATTTCTTTTCTTCTCGATAATGCTTCAATTTATCACCACTAAACTCTTACATTAAGACGTGAATTGCATACCGAAGTGGTATTCTATAAATCATTCGATATCTCTGAAAACTGCTCCACATTTCGAGAATTATGTTATCATCTTTACACAATCCCACAGTGTTCAAAGCAACACGTTTAATTATTCCAGATGAGAGTGAGACCTCAAGACATATTTCGCACGAAATTTAGCTATTCACTCTTACATAATACCGATAAAGTGATTCAAAGGACAGATTAGGGTTGTGAATGCTCCTCAACTACATACTCAGAGTATTAGCTCAGTCACCGTGTATGACAATGCTATGAAATTTCGATTCAAGTCAAGTCAAGTCAAATAATGTTTATTAACATAAATACGAATATTTACAAACAATAACAAATGTTTACAGTTTTTATAGACAGGACTTTATGAAGTATAGCGACAGCCCAGGGGCTTTAACATATATTTTACATGGTGATTATGAGAGGGGGTAACAAATTGAAGGTTGCGGGTGAAGAGGACATTCGGGATAGGGAAAATAATTTTTAGAAAAAAACCCTATTTCAAACCCTATTTCATTCGAATTTTAACAGAATTCTCTTGAAATTCTGTAAAAAATTCACACGGTCTTTCATTTTACTACTGAGAATTATGCAAATTTGCCGTGCGTTTTTCAAGAGAGATTTTTTGATAGAAAAAGAAGTCAATAGATATTTTTTTTTTATTTCATTTTTAGTCCCATCGACGGAGTCATTGGCGACTATTTACAGAACAGAGAAAAAATAAATTACAATGTAATGAAATACAATCAATAAATGTTTTCTCTTTATTCTTTTCAGCTTTTTTCTGCAAGAATTCTAGAGTCTAAGTTTTTCAAGTTTTTTTTATTCATTTTGTAATGATGAACAAGAAGGGACAGAAACAAATGATCAAATTTATTCCCACGAATTTTTATTGAAAACAAAACTCCAGGGCATTCAATAAAGTAATTGATTTTTTGCAGATTCTACTGTAAACATCCGCAGCTTTCCTTCGTATTTTTCAAAATAGCAATATTCAGTCCGGGATACCGTATAAAAAAAGGTGATAGATTTTTCCTTCTATACAATTTATT